AAAATATTTTTTCATTTTTATAAGTAAGTTGACATTAAACTTTTACCAATTAAACATTTTGGTAATTGGTTTGGTTTTTTTCTAACTATGTGAATAATGTACTGTAATTTTTGCGGTTCGAAACATACACGCTCCTCCCATATGTATTTTACCTCTCCTCATTTGTTCAGCTATAAGAATAGAATTTGTTTCTTGCTGCTGTGTTTGCTAGTTTTGCAAAGAGAAAAGGTATCTAACTTCATCTAGTTACGTTAAACTCAGTTGTTATCTAAATCACAATTTAGTTAACTCTCCAGTTTGTACGTACTGTTTCTGAATTAGGATGGAATTTGTGGTCATGGGGTTTGGAAATTTATTGGTGGATATGATGACCTCTTTTGCAGTGGTTGGTTAAGCTTGTTTATGTAACCAGCTTTGATCAATGCAATATATTTTATTTACCAAAGCATGTCTCTTACATTCTATCAGTGGGTATTATTTCTAGGAATGTCTTAAAATAGTTGGTTAAATCTGATTTGAGTGTTCAGTTTTGCTTAACGTGCTTGATAACCAAGTTTAGTTTAGACTTTGTAAATAAGCAAAGGCATTGTGTTGTAGGCTGTCCTAGCAACCACTTCATCACAGTATAAACTGGCTGGGGAGGTAATATTAAATTCACTTCATATAAATGACATTAATTTTGTTCATGAACTGAATTTTGAGATGTAGAGTATCTGTCAATCATAGACCTGCAGGCAAGAATAAATTATTAAAGTTACGGTCTTTTCCATATGTGGAACAATACAAATACTGCTTTGTTAGAGCCTGCCTTTTAATGGTGCACATGTTTAGAAGTATTTTCAAATGCACTTTCAAGGAAAAACATGTCAACGTCTTTAGAAGAGATGAAATTCTTTCATTATACCTAAGTTTATCTTATTTAATTTATCGAAGCCTGGGGCTGAGGACTTTTATCTTGGTAATGTATAAAGGATTCATGGGGGGATGGGAAGAGTATGTGCGGTTCCTGGTAAATAAATCCTTGACTGTAAAGGAAAACCAAGATTTTCTATGTCAAATATTTTTTGTGTGATGGTGGCGATCGTAACAAATGAGTTAGAAATAGTATGATGATACTTGAGCTTTGCAAGACACGAAGTGTTTGGTAAATACTTCATAGAGCAAGCTTTTTGAGTCAGCTTGTGCAAGGAAAAGTGGCTTTTCTGCTGAAAGGAAATTATTAAAATAGAAGTTTAGTTACAAACATTTTTTAGGCAGAAAATTGTTCAGCATTTGAAGTTTCTTACGTAACTTTATATAAAAATGTTTTTAACTCAATGTATTTGCTATTAATGCTCTAATTCAGAAAATATTCTTTTTTTCTGCTAACAGGCTTTATTTTTAGCCTGCATGTAGGTCCTTTGGCAGGATTTCTTAAGAGTTACTTAAAAATGCATAATTAATTTTATTTTCCAAGTTGTTTAAGACAACAACAAACTAATGACAGACATTTAATACCAATACCAGTGCTTTGATTTGGAGACCTTTGTAAAGGAACAAGTTCAAAAAATTATGTTAAAAATGATTGCAAAGTGGATGCCAAGTAGACCTAAATTTCCACGGCTGTTGGCAGCACACGCACAGGGCAGGCACACGTTGGTCCGCGTAACCTTCTTCACACTACATGTCCTTTAATCTTTATGCTTGACTGGGACACTCAGGAAAATTACCTTGTGAGGAAATATAGTAATTGTCTTTCTGTACTTACTGAATTATAGCTGGACTTTGTTAACTAGAACTGTGATAGCGCTTTCTGTGATGTAGGTGTATCCAAGTAGGAGTTCAGATAAAATGTTGTTTCACCTAATGTTACCTTATGGCTGGGCAACAGCCTTCAACCTTTCTCTCTTCTGTCCCCGAGGTAAAAGGAACACTTACTTTCAGTGAAAGATGAAGTCCAAGATCTAGATCCAAAAAAAGATCATAGGTGCCTAAATGTCTGACTTGTGGTCACATACATGACTTTTAAATTGAAAGTTACAACCCATACCAGCTTAGGTAGCACTTAAATTTCTTGACATGAAATCATTCTGTAAAAAGTGATTGTATTACCTTTCAAACGCATGCCTTTTGAAATAGGTCATTCATAGTCATTCATATAGATAAACCTGAGGAGTTTCACCTTGTTAAGTACACTTTCACACAGCTGTATATTAGCTTCTTTTTCGCTAGATCATCACTAATCTTGAAGTGTTTTACCAGTTTAAAAGGTTTGGGATTCATTTAGTTACAACATTAGTATAGAAAATCTTTCATTAATGTCATTGAACTGATACTGATACCCTTTGTGGCAGAAGACACATCTTCTCAAGTGCTGTTTAGAGCAAAGTTGTTTAAAAATTACTTCACATTGAGATAGTCTTTTCACTTTCTCTTTTCCAGATATCCTTTGTAATCAGAATGCACAAGTATGTGATGTTTGTGTGATAAATTTTAATTTATATAGTAGAGCCCTTCAGGGGAGATAGATATAGACACACTTACTTTTTTTGCCCCCTCCATTTGTATTGTGCTAATGACTTTGGAATTTAAAGGTCAGTGTAAAGCACAATATGTTGGCTGAAGGAGCCCATGCAATTTTAATACTGCTTAGCAGGCTGGTGAAAAGAGCAGTCTTTAACAGAATGCATGTTCTGTGGGAGTTAGTGGTTTGTGAAGTGCAGACATTGAAGAAGGAATACCAGTGGACTGGAAAGTTGTTAGAGCTTAATGATATCCTGCAGTTAGATAAATGCCAAGACAAACCAACCATGCTTATTTTCAAGCTAGGATAAATTGATTTTGTGATAATTTCTTACTTGATGAATTATAAATAATATCTTGTGTCAGTATGATTATTTCTCCTGCTATTCATGTAACAGCTCGTCTATAGTAACTTTTCAGTGCAACTCACTTTTGCCCTGAGAAAAGTTTGTGCATAATGAGCAAGTATATAGTAATGAAATGTAGTTAAAAACCTGTCTTCTGTGCAGATGGGTTTTTTTTTCCTCTTTTTTTTTCTTTTTTTTTCTTTTTTTCCCTCTGCAATTAAGTCCAGCATTAAGCAGCCTCAAAATAACGTGATATTTAGGGGAGTGGGTTGGTTGGTTGGTTGTGGGGGTTTTTTTGTTTTGTTTTTGTTTTGTTTTTTTTTTAACAGATACTCTCAGGGTACCTGGGGACCAGCATTCTGCCATCGGTGTTGGGTGTAAGCTTAAATCTAAACTACGACATTAAAATCTGTTAAGATTTTTCAGGAAAGATGCACATTGCAAATGTCAGCATATTGTAATGCAGAAGTAAAATCAAAATTGCCTAGAGAATTTTAGTTGCTTAGAAGTTGTGGCACATGGAAAATAGGCTTAGAAGTTGTTATTTTCTTTTAATAATCAGATGTATCAGATGTGAACCATAGAACTGCTAAGGATAATATAGTTTTCTCTCCCCTCTAATTTCATTGCATCTTTCTCTTTCTTTTTCTTGCAAAATAATAGAATATATTGTTTGATATAGAGTATGAATGTTCGGTCTGTCTTCCAGCTCTTAATGAGGTATCTTTGCAGGGAAGAAAGAGAACTTAAACAAAATCCTCCATTTCATGAAATGACACACTTTGAACTTTTTTTCATGTGCGTGTCTGATCTTTCCAGCAAGCTGAATTTGACCTAGTTAAATTTACTTTGTCAACTTAGAGTTTTAGAGCAGCCTTACCCACCTTGATTAAAACAAGTACAGCATCGTCGGTTTGACTGCAGACTCCCCATGAATGCTGCCTTACTGCTATGTCCAGTTTGCTTTGTTGAAGTTACTACTTATCATGTAATACTTTATGTAAACTGAGATTGTATCAAGAGTGCTTTGAATGTGTTTACTACAAATTCAGCTGAGATGACCAATGTTGATACGTTCAGCAGTGGCAAATGGACCATGTCTTAAATAGTGGTATATAGAAGAGCTTCCTCTTAACTTAGTCATCCAGAGGGCAAAAGCACTTTGTTTTGCTGTCTCTCTCAAGCTTTTTGGCTTGCTTTTTTTGTGTTGACATGTTGAGTAGTACTTTGTTTTTGGAAGGAGATGATGGTAACTGGTCCATAGCTGTAGTTATTAACTTGGGTCTTCTCCTTGCATGTTGGGTCTTCTCCTGTGGTGCTGTGTAATGAAAAAATCTCATCGTTGTTTGTTTAATAATGCGAATGCAGTAGGGGGTGAACGTGTCTCCTGCCGAGTGCATTTAGGGAGCATTAAATTGATCTCCTAAATTCTGCCTTGTTATTCCCATTTACTTTTTTCAGAGACAGTCTCCATTTTGTGCTTTTTCACTAGGCAAAGAGTAGGCTTTAAAAGGGCTACAGCAAATGTCACTGAACTATGCCTGTCTGGCCCTTCCCTTCTAGGGGTATTTTTCTTCCTTTGTTCCCCATGTTTCCTTTTCCTGCCTATATGTGTTGTTTGATTCATTTAAATAAATGTGCAGGAAAAAATACAATTTAATGGAAGTCCACTGTAAACTCCAAAGCTTAATACAGTGGAGTTGTAGTGAATCTTTTCTAAGGATTCACTACAGATTAAATCTTTTTTATTTAAAATAACAAAGTTATTAGAATAACAGATTACATACAAATGGATTATGCGGATTCAATTTACTTTTATCCTAGTACTTCTTGTGATTACTGATTTTGAGATATGATCAGAAATCAAGTGTAATGTTCTTAGGATACTGTAAATGAAGTGGTTTATTAGCAGATAGACCTGTTGCTTTTTAGACAGTCTGAAATAGTGCTATATCAGAACCGAATAGTTCCAGCTTCCTCCTTTTGTCAGTTAAATGTATGAGTATGTGTAATAGAAACCTTTCAAGATCTGTCAGGTTAACAGAAGAATATAATATGTACAAAACCAAGATGGTTGATACTGCCATCCTCTCAGGAGCAAGTACTGAAATGTTTTTTTACATCTGCCTACCAAGGGAAGAGAAGAATATGTGAGAATTCTTGTGCTTTATTTCAGAATTTAAATGCCCAGACTCTTTTTCCTCTTAAGTAAATAATTTAACTTTATAAACATCAACAATATGAACTTAAAAATGCTTTCAGCAGACTCTAGTAGTAAAATAATAATTCCTCAGGAAAAGATTTTTTTATAGGCAGCATTATTTCAACCATTAGCTTTCATAAACTTGAGATTGCCATACTGATTTCCATTAGCGCACCGTATATGCATTGAATATGCCAAGACAAGTGGAGTGTACCTGTGCCAGGTACGATTTGTACAATGTGTGAAACTTTTTGCCTAGTGTAACTTGGATGTTGACGGTCCTGTTTTTACTTTGGTCACAGTGTGGATGGGGCAACTGGAAAATTCTAACACTCCACTTAATAAAATTTAGGTTTTGTTGCTCAGTTGGCATTTGTACCTCAGACATACGTTGTAACAGATTTGCAGCTGAGTTACGTGCTGCGTTTGAAAAAATACTGCATTTTTTTTGAACAACAACATTTTCCCTTCATTCTCTTTTGCAAAGTAACACTGAATTTGATCAGAAACTGTAGTTAGCTGATTGTGTCAGAGCCTTGTGCAGCTTTAAATCATTCAGTCTGTGATAAAACTTGCCTCAGTTATTTTCAGGTAAATATTGGATTAATTCTAAATTCCCTGTGGATTGGTGTAGCCCAGAGTTCCGTTTGTTTTAAAATAAATACGTTTAAGAAAAAATCTTAAGCTTCAATGGATTTTTCAGATAAGGACCGAAGCAAGTCCTTATAAATAGCAGAGTTCATAAACCGTGGGTAGGAGTCTCTGTGCATTAAGGTATAAATTTGAAGCTGTGCATCATCGAAGGTGTGTTGTGAGGGTTCCAGCATATTTCGGTTAATAACTTCTCTTACTCTGGAGTCCAGACTGACCTGCATATTAAAATAGAAAGTCACATAATTAATGGTGAATAGTACACATGGGGGTTTTAGGTTTGTTTTATTGGCTTGAAAAAGCAGTCGGGTTTAACCATTTCAGCTGGTATCCTTCAAGAGTCTAAAAACTGCTAAATGTACTTAGGCAAAAATGACTGGTTTTAAATTTGGAAATAGTAGTCTCTTGAGTATGGATAGAGAAATTTTCTCACTGAGGCGACCTTGCTTTGAACAAGGCTGCCTGCAATCCCGTTATTACTGAAACCTCAGGAGACTGGCAGACTATTTCCAGACCAACTCCCTGCTCTGTAGTAGAGAGGATTTGTAAATTTTTGTGACAGTTTGTTTCCTTGGGAGTTAGTGCTGTTGTAAAGAGGCTGAATTTGGAGTAAGCAGTATGACGCAGATGGAAACTGTCACCTGGGAAGCTGTCGCTTAATCAAATTCCTATGTTAAAAAGCAGGGTGAATTGATGCAAACCACAGGTATGGCTCTATAATGATTCCGTACAACATACAAGTAATGTCATTTTTTTTCTGTAAGGCTCTAGTCTCTGTAGAAAGATGTTAGTATTACCGTACTAGGCTGACCAGAGTTAAACAGCATTTTTATAAGTACTTAAGTATGGTTTGCACCGCAAACAATTAAGTTTATGAGTTTTGCAAGGATATTGGAAGGTTTAAAATACCAGCCTGCTTGGTAGGATTATATTAAAATTGAACTGAAGTGTCTTGGAAACTTGACACACTGGCTAACAGCAAAGTGACAAGTAGCTTTGAAAATTTTCAGGAAGTTGGTGTGTGTGTTCTATGCCATATTTTGACAGCTGCTCTTTGAGCAATTTGAGCTTTGCAAATAACACTTTATCTGTGGTTACTGTGCTTTTGGAGAGAAGCGCAAACCCCCTCCTTGTGCAAAGACAAAAAAAACTGGTTTGTCCAACAAATAAAATTGAAGTTGAGCAAGGATAAAGCAATCATCTGTATGTGTGTGCCTCAAACTGAGGACTTCACATCAGCATGCCAGGGTAGCACAGGAAGAGCTTTGACCTCATCTTGCCTCAACAATGTCTCTGCCTTTCCCCCTAAATCTCTATTTGTTGGCAGTTGGAACGTGTGTGGGGAAAAAGTTCTCACCGAGTATTATTGTGGGTGTAAATGTGTGTTAGAACTAGTTGTGCAAAGCTGCAGCAAAGAATGTATTGGAGAAAGTAATATACCTCTTTTGGAGAAAGGATAGAAATATAATCTTCATAAATTAGCCTTGCTTTTTCTTCAATGACACTTTTGTTGGATTCTTGTTTTAGTTCCTCACAGGCCATCCAGAAAAGCATGTTTTCCTCGCTGAATTCTGTTCGTAGAAATTCACGAAAAGCATTTCTGCCAGCTGGAGTAAGCATCAGCTTGTCAAATGATTGAGCCCAGGCATTTACTTCTTCAAGAGTAGGAGCAGGACTTGAGGAGGGAGAGGACGAGAAGAGAGAAATGAATGATTGTTACTCAAGCTGTTTGCAGCTGGCAGGAGGCATCTGCCATCACGGTGGAACAAAATCGCAAGGTTCATGGGGCTCCAGTTCCTCACTGGAACTACCCAAGTGCAAACTCTAGTAAATATATAAGATGCTTTTTTGAAAGTGTGCTTATCAAAACCTCAGGTGATTGCCAGCGCTTTGATGCAGAACTTGCGGTTTACTGCTCAAAGTAATTGCAACAAAGTTGTCCCTCTGCAACAGCTATGCATTTTTTTCTATACCCAATAGTCCTTGTTGAATCATTGTTAAAAATTGAATGAAAATACGTAGCAAGAGGCAATGATTCAAACCCCATAAAAGGCACCCTCCTGTCTATGATGGTCTTACAGGTTGCTCCCACCTGTTTGAGCAATTCTGAAGAGACAGTTGCCTGACTTTTGGGAGGATCGAGCTCTTTATTATTTTTGTAAGGCTGAGCACTGCCAGTTAGCTTCATCACATAGTTGCTGGGTGGGAACAGGATGTATTTAAAAACTATTTCAGAAAAAAGGGTTCTGTGTTTACAATGCTGGTTTTGATCTGTCGCATTATTAAAGTGGGGATGTGGTTACATGCCGCATATAAACAAGGTAAAACATTCGAGGTCAGACCTTTGATTCCTTAGGAAGTAAGAGACAGATGACTGCAAATTCAGCAGAAGTGACAAATAGATAATAACAGTTATTTGCATATTCCAGGTAATTCACTTTATTTAGTATGGTTTGTTGGGTTTGTTTTGTTTTGGCCTGACAGAACACTTGGCAAAAACCATACCTTTCCTCGCAGTTTGGAATACTCTCTGCTTGGAGTTCATGAGATGTCCGTGTTCTCTCTTCGTCTTGATTTCTAACAGTAAGACTGCAAGGTAGCAAAAAAAAATTTAGTCAACTTCATAAAGGAAGAGGCTGAACGTACACCAGATGCTTTTCCTCCAATATTTAAATAAAAAATCAGCTAAAAGGACAGAAACTAACAGTAGCCACATTACCTGTCGTTACACTCTGACATTAATTTTACAGTTGTATAAACCTGGCAAACTTTAATGTAGCTAAATGCTGTTCAATATTATATCACATAGACTTTCTGTACAGGGATCATAGATTCATAGAGTATCTCGAGTTGGAAGGGACCCATAAGGATCATTTCCCATATCTATACACACAGACATGTATGCATATATGTATACATGAGTACCCATTCTCACATACCAAATTATTCTCCATTGACGCTTATTATACTGTGTATGCTTGATGTAATGCTTTTACTTAAGTTAGACTTGATGCACTGGTTTTATATGAGTTAGGTTTCAAGGTTGGTGGTTTTGGTCTTTGGTTTTGTTGTTCTGCCTGGCTGTTTTCTATATCCACAGGGCACGGATGAGGGCCAAGACTCTGGTTTAGAATGGTGATACCATGTCCAAGATAGCCAGAGTTCAGAAGCTGGAGCACAAGTTTTAAGTGAGATAAATGCTTCTGTACATGGTGTTGAAAGTGTCAGCATCTTTCAGAGTTCAGATGTAGGTATAGCCAGATTGTGTGATAATTGATTGCAACTTTTAAGAAAGCGATAGTATATGCTTCAAAATGTGAGGCCTGGAGCACAAAGAGTAGATATATCATTGCCGAATATCATTTTGAGTATGTCTGACTGGAAATGAGTATTAGTTTGTAGCATTACAAAAAAAGTAAATATTTGCGGCCATCATTAGTGATCACTGAGTGTTTTTCACGTCCTGTGGAAAGGTGGCTGTCAGTTCCTGCTGCTTTCATCAAATGTTAGTTTAAATAACTCTAGTTTTTAAAAATTCCTTTTTGGTTGCAGATGATTCTTTTTCATTTGAGACTGGATTTGAGAATATACATATTTCTTTTTAGGGAATGGGGATTATGTTCCAGTTTACAGGCTATCATAATTTAGAGAGAAATGCATGTGCATGCACACACACATACATACACTCATATAATCTGTAAAGCTGCTTAAAATTTGTCAAGAAGAAAATTGCCAGTGAATTACAACCTGTAATTTATATGAAGTGAGTCCTTCAGCTGAAGTAAAGCAATACAGTTGTGAAAACTTCTAGGAGAATATCAAACTTAATTTCTTCATTTGTATCTTACCTTTTTTTGATGCTAATGTTGTAATGGTTTTGTTGCCTTCATCCTTAAGAATCTTGTTTATCTCTAGAAGGCTTTTTGTTAAACCAGTTGGAGAATATCGAACTTAATGTCTTCATTTGTATCTTACCTTTTTTTAATGCTAATGTTGGTAATGGTTTTGTTGCCTTCATCCTTAAGAATCTTGTTTATCTCTAGAAGGCTTTTTGTTAAACCAGTTGATTTTTCTGTCCTTTCAGCATTCTAAACTCATGGCTTTGTCTTATTTGCAGCCTTACTCTTCACTGCTTATCTCTTTCTCTTGCTTTCTCTAGTGATAGTCCATAATGTGTAGAGACCCGCTTTTCCCTTTGCCAAGGCAGCCCATGCATTGAAGAGGTAGGGGAGCTTTCCTGTTGCTAAGCTGGAGAGCAGCTACTGCAAACACTTTTTTTTTTTTTCCCCTGCAACATCTGAACCATGCTTTCAAACCAATGAACTATTTCAGTTCACCTTTTCAGAAGAAGAAAGTAGTTAATGTTAGTTTTCTAGTCTTTTGGGGTATATAGGACTCGATCCTTTACTACACTTTTTATCAGTGATTCTGGCCTTTTTTAATGTGGGAAGTGACATACTATGTATTCTTCACACACAGGCAAGGAATGGTATGCCTATCAGAGTTATTTTTAGCTTGAGGGGAACCAACAGATCCAACAGAAAGGATTACAGTTTTCATAGGGTAATGCATGAAAGGGGAAAATGACAAGTAAGAAAGGCTTCCTTGAGAGAACATGCTGTTCCTCAGAAAATGCTTTGCAGGTAGGCTCTTTCCCGAGAAATGTACAGGTAAGCAAAAAAGAGATTAGTGCAATACTGCATCTTCTCAGGATCTGGAAGAGTAGCAGGCTTGAGTTGTGGCTGTAGGAATGAACACAGGCTCTGGGCATCCAGCTGAGAGACTCACTTCACCATTTTTTCATTCTAAATCTACTATTAAGAGTATGCTGAATATTGGATGTTCAGCAACTCAGCTGCATGACTCATGTAGACTGTTATTTTTATTCCTATTCATAATTTTTCTGTTCAAAGTACTTGAGCTATTTTGAGGAAAGGCTCTATGAATAGGGAATAGAAATAGCTTAATTATGGTTTGTTTTGCATTTCTTGCTACTAGAAAACAATTGTTCTCAAAAAAAAAATCAAATTATTTTAAAGCTAAAACAGCCTGCTCTGTTTTGGAGCTTGTACTGGTTTTCAGATGATTCTGAAATGCAAATAGGAATTTTAAGCATCAGGAAATTTGAGTAATTTCACACACCCTATTGAGTAAATTGCTTTCTTTTGAATTGTTTGAATAGTGAGGTGCACAGAAAATGAGCATCTTGGAGAACATCAGGTAAAATGGCAAAACAGCACTTTATCATTTGAAAGATAAAATGCAAATTTTATGTACTCTGACTTAGTAGATAAATGTACCTTATTTTTTCCTTTTATGGAAATACGCGTGTTTGTGTAATATGCAGCTCTAGATTGAGCCGCTTGCGATTGCACTGGACAACTGTTCAGATGAAGCTGAAATTTGTATGGTAATGCTTTAACATAGACACCATTCTGTGAGGTAGCAAACTCTGATCCTGTACAGGCATGGTACTTAATCTCTCTCTAAACTCCACCTTAGTTTACCTCTAAGCCACTGAAGAGGTGGTAGAGTGGTAGAATCAGAGCCAGTTTACTCGACATCTTGCAAAAAAACCCCAAACCACCACACAGCCTTTTGTCCTTACAAAATACTCACTATTGGCATCGGAGAGGATGGAATTGGGTATCTTGGCTTCTGATGAGCTGAGTACCAATAGCAAAGGAACAATAACCTGCTCTTCCCCTGCTTCTAATGTTGTTCTCGAAAGTATTTGCTACCAGCTGCTGGTGGTGGTGGGGAAGATGGAATAGATTCTTAGCCTGGGTTGTAAGGTTATTTATGACTTCTCCCCTTCACGTCAGTGCAAGGTTTCCTTGCTCTGAAGTGTTTATGTGATGGATAGCTTGCTGTCAGTCTTTTGACTGAACTTCTATGGCTGTTTAAGACTTTTTTTCTTTATTTCAATGCAAGTTCTGGTCTTGCCCATTAATTAACACTTGGGCGCAAACAGATACAGGACTTTTGAGTATGGGAAGCTTCAGTTTTGAATGAAATCCCTTGGAATCTGGAGGAGCTGGTAAGAGAGAGAAGGTGAACGCATGATTAAGGGATAGAGTGATTCCTTTTCCTCTTTTGCTTTGCTTCTCTGATAAATTTTCCTCCTTAACACCTTGTAATGGGAGTTCTTCTGAATTAACGTTCTGCTTAACTCCTCATCTTCAGCAAATAGCCACAAAGTCTAAAGTCTCTAATCCTAAGGATTAACTTCATATGAGTTGCAGTTGCCGTGAGTTGGCAACACTAATTAATGGCAACAGCTCCAGTTGCCTTCGAAACAAAAGAACAGTGCTGGGCACCTGGTTCTTAATTTTCTGACCCACAAATTCTTCCACCTTCTCCTAACTCTATTTAACACCATCTGTGCTGCTGCTTAAGTCCTAGTCCTAAATCTAAAGCTGTTACATATTCTGGTATTGCTTTCAGTTTTTACTAGAAGACCTGGTGAAGCTCAAGGCTGAGGAGAACCAGTCCTACACAAAACAGACCTTCTATTGGACAGTATTGACAACAAAAGCACAACAGAGATATTGTACAGAGACTTTTTTTAAAAAAAATCTGTTATTTCAATGGCAGGAAAAAAAAGTAAATGAGTAGAAGGTTGTGTCTAGTACAGTTCTCTCAGTGACAGATTTGCTGAATTCCCCAGGTGGTTTCTTTGGATTATGTTGTCCTACAGGCTGGCTATTGCCTCCCTGCCCCGCTGTTGTGTTCCCCAGAGGCTGGAATGAGAGGGGTTACCATGAGCAGCTGCAGCAACAGCACCAACAAAAGCAGCAGGCATTGGACCCTCGATTTCCTGCGCTGTGCTGAGCCTGTGCAGCGCCTGGGGTCTCCTGGGTCGTAGACATCTGCCGTTTGCGCATCTCCATCCGCTCTGATCCCATGGGCTGCAAGACAGCAAGAGAAGGGGGAGGGTAAGAAACGTCTCTTTTTCTTTTTGTTTGCTTTAAAAGTCTTACCAAGAACTGCTGAAGGCCACAGCTCCAAAGGAACTGAAAAGCTAAATGCTTTTTTTTTTTCCCCCACAGAAGCTCTTCCGTGTTGAATCCTTTGGAAAATTCATTTTATTTAAGTGCTGTGATGAAAGGCGAAGGGCTGATGAATTCTGCACATGGGTGGGAATACAATGAGAAGAGAGTGGTGATGCAGAGAGCAAAAGGTGGAAGTGAGGGGTCTTGGAGACCTGCAACTCTGGGCACAGTGGTATACATAAGCCTAGGAGTTGAAAAGGGTTTCCTGAGGTTTTGACTTCAAGGCCAGCCCTAAAGACAATGAATGGTACAGAATAGAGGTAGTTGGAGCCTTTTCTTTTTTTTTCTCTTTATCTCTCTCTTTTAGCCAATGCGCAGGCTTAGTGATGCTTGAGTGAGACACCTGAGCTCTCCTGAAAATCTGGCCTTTGGTGAGTATCGGGGATGTCTCAGACCTGCTGGTTGCCCTGTAGCAAAGGGGAAAGGCCAATGCTTATCTGTCCGTTATAGCTCTGACTGCCACAGGTGTGTTAAAGTGTTTTTCTCTCAAGAAGGAATCAAGTGCTTCTGTGAAGATTAGGGATTACTAATGGAGAAAACCCACAACTGAACATTGATAGTCAACGTGCAAGTCTTTGGTCACCTCCCCCAGTTGAAGACAGCATGAAAAAATTTTGGTGGAAACACTTGGGTTTTTTTGCACTGTTCTAGGAAACCTTTTTGGAGCATGGATTCTGCAGATAGTGCAGAGAAGTGGTGTTAATGAAATGCCCAGTCCCCTTGAAGTCCCTGTCCCTTTCTGACCTCTCTCTGAGCTTCAGACTTGCTCTACAGCACTTAATAATGCGTGCTCTATTATGCTGAGGGTTGTGCCATACCTAAGTGACAAGTGTCTTGTATAGATGAAATGCCAGCTTGTACAAAGATGAGTACATTTTCCTTCATTTTGATTTTATTTGATTTTTGGATACGTAACTAGTCATCCTCCTGTGTCCTGAGACCCCTTTGTGTGTAGATTTTTTCAGGTTGCTAAACCTTCTTTTGAGACCATGACAATTGTAGGGGAATTAAAATCAGCTGCTACCAATTTTGATTTCTTTTTTTTAATTGATAATTGAATACCAGACTTGAAAAATAATCTGATGAGCTGAATAGCAGAGAGTTAAAAATTGCCTTCTTTTCTAAAATGTTCAGCCAGTTTTAGGAAGTACTATTGTTGTAACTTGAGGGAGAATGCACAGACGTTGTCATGGACTCAACAGAAGTGTCTGGAGAAGAAAGGACATTATTTTAGCAGAGTGAGGCATTACATTTTGCTGATTTCTTTTTTTTTTTTTTTTAATGCTGAATTTGTTTCTCTCTTACAGAGCTTAATAGTTTTTGGTTTTGTGAGAACCACCCACTCTCCCAAGAGAAAAATGCATGACATGCTGAGCAGAAGATGCACCTGTTTTGCAGGAGGAGTAAAATATAAAAACAACAGTACAGATAGAAATTATAACCTATTTTGTAACTCTGTAGACCTGATCTGACAAGCAATGCCTAAATGCCCAGAAATAGAAAATTGGAAAAGAACATAGCTTCCAAAAACCCCACAACCTTTCTTCTCAGAATGTGGAAGAATAAATGTGAAATGTAAAATTGTAGATTCAGATTTCTTTCCTTCAGAGTTTCAGATTCACAGGAATAGAATGAAGCCCTAAGTATGAATTTCCTTCCAGATACCTATACTTTTTCAAATTAGAGCATCTTCATATTTCAATTAGAAAGTGATAGCATATAAAGCATTATTGGAATGATAATATATCTAACAATATTTTAGGCTGCTTTGGACAGTAAACACTGATTAGAAAAGTGTAACTTGGATTCAGATATGTGCAGTTCACGTAGCCTAATCCATCCACTCTTACTTTTGAGATGTTTTATGTGGATAGTTCACACATTCATCTCCCTAATTCATATTACCATTGAACTGACTGGTGGTGTGAGTAGAAAAGCTGGTTCCTGTTGTTTGCTTTTTTCAGGGAGAAAGCTAAAGGACGGTGGCACTGTGGCTTAATTCAAGAGACCTTTCTGGATCCATTGTTACCATTTCAGGAGGTTCTTTAGAATTGTTCTTTGACATCTTTAATGCAGGGAGGAGTATGTAAGCAGCTGTACGGCAAAAACTGCCCAGCGGCACTGTGGTGTTTGTTTCACTTGCGAATCATACACCTTACTTAGTTTTATGAAGGTTCAGCATTGCATGATTTCTCACACAGTTTACAGAAAATGAAGGATTGAGCAACGCAAAAATTTGAGACACTTTCTTTCAGATTAAATGATGCATTTTCATTTTTATCTGGTAGATGTATACTAACTTTCTCATTGAATAAGCAAGTAGATTTCGGTCATTTATGTGATGAAGACTTGTTTTGAAAGTTATTTTTAGCAGATAAAGCATGCTTTCATGATAGCAGAGCTGTATTACAGTAATGGGAAATAAGAGAAAGACGACTGGAATACATCTGTTGGCTTAAAGACGGCCCAAGCTTTAGAATTACAGAGCCATTTAGTGATTATCGTGCATGTATTTCCTGTAGCAATTGACAGTCGTATTGTAAATTCAATAGAGGTTTAGAGTGGATCACAAACTAATTGGGATGTGACTTTCTGCAGTGTATTAGCAGGAATACTGTGGTAAGATAGGAAGTAATTTACTTCTCTGTGCAGGTACTAGGGGTATAGCATTTGAAGAAAGATAGAGCATCTATCTAAAACTCTAACAAGATGTTTAGAAAGCGTGACTTACACAGAAAAATTGTAGGAGTTTGGGTTGTTATTCTAGAAGGGCGAATTGAGAAGCATATTGATCAGTAAAAGGTTACAATATTCTATTATTCTCTGTTTCTTTCAGAGATAAATGATGAGTTAGCTTGGGCTAAATAAAATCTAGGCTCGATTTTATAGGATAGCAAGGTAGAGAGCTGAGCAGCGGTGCAGGTTATTACAAAGTTATAGAAACTTCTTTGGCACAGATAGTATTAAGACTCATAAACCAAAAACATATTGGGCTAGTCCAGGTTCAGAGAACAAGCAATGAGTAAGTGATCCATCTCAGCATTGTTTTTCTAACTTTGTTCTTCCCTGCTTGTGTTGGTTTTGTTTTGTTTGTTGTTTTTTTTTTTAAATGCAGCTCTGGCTCTAAACCAAACTCATCCAGCACATGGTTCTACATACCTTTCTACCTGGACCAACTCCCTTTGGCTACATAAGAATGATTAATCTGCAAGAGAAGTGGATGTCTTACATTGAAAGTCTAGGGGTTTGTGGTTTATCCTCTAACCAGAATTGCAAAATAAAGTTAAAATGTTCATGTTTGCAGCACACTTTGTTGCAAATGTATATCCCAATCGTGATTGCACCGAGACCGTGCAATGCCAGTCATGAGGCCTGAGCACACAGTGAGACATAGGCTCTGCCTAAGGGATGTGTAATAATTTTGTATGTATATTGATGGATATACACTGGCTTTCTAGATTTTCTTGTTTTTTTAAAAAAGTTGTAATAATAAAAAAAAGGTAAACCAGGGAAACACAAACCCTGAAATTTTGCAGCTGTGCATGGTGATATAAGATTACCACGAGCTCCCTATCTGCTGCTTTTGCTCTTCCATAAACTGCTCCTTGGCTGGAACAGTGGCAAAGGCACGGACACTGAGTTTGTGCAAGTCATATAAGGATTCATTTTCAAAGAAAAGTAGCTTGAAAAGCATTGAGTTATCCGAGTATGACTGTACACAGGGAAGTATAATGATCTTGGAAGGTGCATGGAAAAAAAGTCATAGAGATGAAGCAAGTTGTCTGAGATCACGCAGTGAGTTAATGACGGAGCCACTGATGGGACACAAACAGCAGCGCCTTATTTTGTGTCTGTAGTTGTTTTCCTGCTGCCTCTAGTATATCCAGAATTTCACTATGAGTCACTGAAGTTCTCCATCACTCTTTGCTGCTTCTTGCTGCAGCCACCATAGGTGTGCAATGAGCCTTTCCAGGCACCTGCTCGAATTACTGTTTTGAGTTGCATTATCTGCAGGAACGGACAGTAGATTTATCAACAACCGCAGTGAATAATATTTGTAGGAATTTACAAAATTCCTTGCTTCTTTACAGTACAACCCACATTAGCAACAATTTAAACAATCACCTGACTTGTGCATCTGTGGGAATGGAGGCAGCTATTTTTTTGCCTTCAGTAGACTTTAGGTGCTCATGGCAAAAAGGAGAGGGGTTTGTAAAGACCTCTCAATAGGTCTTCTGTTCATATAATGTTATGGCTGTTAATTTGGGACATTAGATGGTTTGACTGGGTCATGCAGTAGATGTAAAACCAATTAGAAAATCTAGTGTCTGTTCTTTGCATCAGTGATGAGACTAACTATGTATTACTTGAAAAATTATTCACTTGTGGATGCTACTGCTCTAGTACATGGTACCAGTGATTGGTGACCTCTTCAAGTTTATTATCCCATAGTATTAGGCGAAAGGATTTCAACCAACTCTAATCAAAACTAGTAGAAGTGTGACTGCTAATTTTGCAAGAGGGTTTTCCTTATTTTCCAGACTGATATTGTGGATGATCAGGTGGTTTGAATAATGAAAAATGCCAGTCATTAACAGCATTTTAAGCTAATAGCTTACATTAAAGTTGTTAAAGGGAATGACATAGCTTGGTAATTAGGTTTAGCTAAGTATTTTTCTTTCCCTATTTGAGAATACATTCAACAGACCAACAAGTGGTGGAGTGGGGAAGCAGGATAAGAGGCACATAGAATCACAGAATAGTTTGGGTTGGGAGGGACTTTTAAAGGTCATCTAGGCTGACCTCCCTGCAATCAGCAGGGATGTCTTCAACTACATCAGGTTGCTCAGAGCCCC